GGTCGGCAGGTTGTGGGAAATCGCGATTGAAGTTTGGAATGCAATTTCTCAAAAACGCGAAATAGATATTCTCCAAAGTCGCTGAAAATGTTACTAGTTCAAAAAATTCTTAAATTATCTAATTTTTAATGTTTAATATTAATTAGCTTTGAGTTTATGAAGGATTTTCTTTAGTAAAATTTTGTCGTAAGCGTCATTTGTCCACAATTTGGCAGCCACTTAAAAAACAAAAATAAAATAATAATTTTCCCCAGCGGCCAAAACTCCCCTAATCCATTACAAAGTGGGGTGTGCGGTACGTATACGTAATGTCAATTCAAAATTACTTTTCTGAAATTACAGCCCAAGAAGGGTTTAATTAATTTAATTTAAATTTAGTTTGTCCACGTAAATTTTTTGAAGTTTTTGATTATTTTTCAATCACATAAAAGTTTTTTACCAACTTTTTATATAGTTTAGTTTAACTAAGCTCTGATGCTCTGTAAGGGAAAAGTGTTTTTGTACCAACATTTATAGCTTGAAACATGCTATTGAGGGACAAAACAGTTCTCGGATTTCCACATTTTTGTCATCAAAACTTAGTCATAAAATATTATTAGGGTTAATTTTTACCCAATTCGAGTCAACTTGTACATTTGTTTTCCTCCGCTGGGGCAGGCACCTTGCCGTTGGTGCGGAGGCTTAACTGAATCGCCAATCAGTCCTTCCCTGGACTGGGGTAACGCAGCCGCTTTGCAGCCGCTTTGCAGCCGCTTTTGCAGCTTCTGCGCTACCCTCTTTCCAGCTTAGGGCTGCTGGCGAACAGCGACCAAGGACTGCCAACCCCCTAATCCAGGGTGTTACGCGTTACCGTGCCTATTGGACGATTTGCAGCCAGGGGGTCGAATTTCGGCTGTATTATAACGGAGCCTTCCTGAAACCGGGCCGCCTCAGGGAGTAACGGTGGCCTTACCGTGGCAAGGGGCGCTACTGCGGTGGACTATATATTTCCCCACACAATTTTTTGACCACTGGGCTCGTCGCGTCGGGCAGGTGGTCGTACGACCAAGATGAATACAAATAAAAACAAAAACATAAATGACGAAAATAATGAAGATGAATGGAAGTTGCTCGTTAAAGCTCTTAGGAGAAGAGAGGGTTACGACTCCAACAGTGATGAGAGCTCGGCAGGAGAGAGGGAGCTTTCAGCAAGCCCTAGCAAAGAAGCGGAGAGAGCAGAGGCCAAAAAGGTGCGGAAAAGAGAGCGGAAGAAAGCTCTATCGCAATATAAAGCGGCACTGCGCATAATCCAGCGCTTTGGAGCCGTGGTTTACCCGACAAACCGTGAGAAGGAGCGCTTAGCGTGGGCAAGAGAGACGGTAAGGTCAGAACGTGCACAGCTCGATAGAGAACATTATGCTACAACAAATCGGAGATACCCAAACAGTATAGAGGAGAAGCACGCTAGTGGCGAGTTTGAAAGGAAGCGCCCTCCGAAAAATGATAGTCCGGATATCAAGCGGCAGAAAAGATTCACATACGAAGATAAACCGCTTCACAAGGCCGTAAGGCGGGAAAACCACGACGACAATGATCCGTCGACTTCGAAGGCGGCTTTGTTAAAGAGCAGCGCGCAAGCTAAGAACGGCGAAGATATAGATGGGATCCCAGATTCTGTAGGATTAAGTGAGGTAGCCGAGCAGCACCTGACTGTCGCGCTGCTTGATCATAGTGATCCCTATGGCAAGATGACCACTAAAAAGTGGAAATCTGTAGAGGGTGAGCTATTGAGTCTAATGATCAGGCAAATGCATGAAGAGCCGGGCAAACCTATGCCTACATTTGACGGCGAAGGCTGGTTTTACGGGGTCAAGCTCCTTAAATGCAAGGACAGCGCAGCACTGGAATGGCTAAAGCAAGCAGTTCCAAACCTACAAAGGCAAGGGGACAATGCACACTTAGAAGTGGTGGACAGAGTTCTGATCCCCACAATTCCGAAGGCGAAGGTATGGATCCCCTACGTGGTGAAGTCGGATTACGCCCTGCGCTTGTTACAGGCACAAAATCCGAATATACCAACACGGGATTGGAAGGTACTTCACGTATCTAAGACGACGGATGAGGGCCAGAGCTACATACTCCAAATCAACAAAGAGGCTGAAGACTTGTTGTACCCAGAGTATGGCAAAATGTCGTGGGGTATGGGAAGCGTATATTTGCGTCTGAAAAAGCGTAACCTAAAAGACGATAACACAAATACGCTAGAAGTAGGAGAAATCGAGAAAGATCTAGGTTTCGATAACGTGACTGGCCTGAAAATAGTGGACGAGGCAGCTAAGGATGGTGATGAGGTACTAGAAGTGCAGAATGAGATGAAGGACGAGCGACACGCTCATGCTGTGGGTCCTTCAAGTAAATCTTCAATACAATAAATTGGCTTCGAACGAGCTCCTCATAACGGTGGATGAGGAGTTGTTCGACGTGGGCTTGGTCCAAGAGCTTCGACTTACGGCTGGCGGACTTAATTCAGCGAAGTTCTGCTCATACTATTTAGGAAGTTAGAGGGCAGGGTAAGAGCCGTGATTGTGATAAGAAAGAAGTTGCACTTACCTATTGTCTAATTACAGCACAGAGGACTTGGTGGAAGTGGCTACCGAATGGGAGAAATAGGTCACAGATTCCTGCTACATGGCGCTCAATATTGAAGCTCCGCCGACCGAGTTGAGGACCCTGGTTGAAGACTTTAAGCGCAGACGACAACAAATAGTAGGGCGGACTAAAACGCCCATCGTACCATCTAGGGCTTTCGCGAAATTAACGAATGGGGTGAGTCACTACTTTATCATAGCATAGACATATAAACCTTTCTTCCGAGCGACTAGTTTTAATAGAAAACTGGTGGGTACTTAGAAGGTGGTCGTATTTTGAAAATTCCGAATCGAAATTCAATTTTGAGATCACTACATTAGATAGCGAATGCGCTTCGTCAATTTAAATTTTGTCAAAACAACCGTCGTTTTATTTGACTCGATTCGAAATGAGTAATCATTCGATCACGATTCGGGCCCAGTTCGGTAATCCAAAACTAACCCAGGTGGCTGCGAATTGAAGATGACCTAGAAAAGGCCAACAACCAATTAACACCTACCCTAGTAAATATTTTTAAAGGTTCGTGCCCTAGGGAAACGGCCAAGGCTAAACCAAACCACTTGTGAATTCCAGCGGGATATAAAATTTTAGAATGCCTATGCAAACTATTCGTAGGCTGCATTTAGTAAACTTAAATACCTTCATCGTGAAGCACTACACCAGTTGTTTTCCGGCTAGAAAAACAGCCATGTTTTACCACCAAGTATAGCGGCAATCTTGTCGGGGCAAACAGACTACGCGATCCCCGTCTGGGTTTTAAAAAGTCTCTAGAAGCTAATATAGAGGTTGTCGGTTGACTCATTTACAAAGACGGTTCTAAAATGGACGAATAGGTCGGTGCTGCAGTGTACTGCACCGACCCGGAAATTCAAATGATTTTTTTAATATAAACAGGAAGAACTGACTCCAAACTTCTGATAGGATTACTAACAGGGATTTGTTAGCTAGCAGCGTCAGAGCTAAGTCTTATAAAAGACAAAAGGTTTAGTAAGTGTAACTATCACGATGAAATTATGGAATATATAATTTTGAGGTTAGGGAAAAATTATGACGTGATGGTTCGAAACGAGCTTCAGATCTGTGTTCAGTGACCCTAAGAAAATATCGAACACAAAGTCTGGTAAAAAGAACCTTTCGCCGATTATTTTTTTGGCCCTGCGTAATCTGTAACCAAAAAGTAGAAACTTTAACACACTGTAAAAAAAAGGTCATTATTTCGTTGAGATACTAAAGTAGCGTTTCCACGAAGTAAGCGAACAAAGAGGTTCATATCGTCGTATAAAGTATAAAACCGTGTATCGTCGTTCTGCAAAACCGCGTAACTGACATTTTTTGCCAAAAATTGGATTTACTCACACAAGCCCTTGCCTCAAGCCTTATCCATTCATCCTAAAATATACTAGCCAGAAATGCGATTGCTTTATAAAAACGAGAACCATTTTTGAAATATGAGTGTTTTTACTCTCTAGAAAATAATTTATGCAATACGCGGTTTTGTACTTTAAACGACGATATAATATTTGTATGAAAGTAATTACTGTTGGTTTAGGGATAGCCCCATAAATCTTAATGTTTCGTCCCAAGTGATGTACACCTGAATTTTCATGTATGTATGTACGCGCCCTGCTTTTATCCTTGTGCTAGGTCAGTGCTTTTTGTTTGTTTTGTTTTGAATTTCCGCAAGAGATCTTAGCAACATTGCCATTATTGTCATTTTCATATTCCACTTTGATATTTTGAGCTTTTTAAGCGGAAATGCTTCCACACATCTCCCACGTGTTGCACGCTCTTTCGCTTTCTATGGCGCAGGCGCTAAAATATACAAAAAAAAAAACGGGAAATTGTGAAAATAGTTTCTGTCATCGTCCTGAGAGCACCAACAATAATTGTGTTTTCAACTGAGTTATTAGTAGTTACTTAGTTGCGGGCACGAAATGTTGAAATTTAGAAGCAAATTTTTGTAGTAGAAAATTTAGTAGGCTATACATACCTACTTATGCTATACATATACTTATGTACTTATGTATGTAAGCAAAGTGGTGATGCAAGTAAAATAAAATGTTTTGCTGTTTTTAATGTTTATACGATAAGTCTAATTCGAATGCAAAATTGGTGGAAATGTTTGATGAAGTGGACAACGAGGCGTTCTTACAATTGCAATCATGTCCTTAGAAGGGAGCATGCATGCCTACTTATTTAAATGAATTTCGATAGACCAAAATTTTCTCCAGCATTAAAATAAGAATTACATGGAAATAAATTGTGCTGCGAATATTTAAACAATTACAGATTCAGTAAGCTGATTAGTTAAGTAAATACATTTGTATACACATCAATAATGACTGCTGAACTGACGCTGAGTGCCGGATGTGAATTTCATTAAAGGAGCAAAGGAGCTGACGGCAAGGAAAAGGAGCAGTCAAAAGAAATTTTTGTGTGGCAAGGCAATATCCATCAACGGTGTTACTACATACATACATAGCGCATTTTTACCCACTTTTACACAAGAGCTGCGTTGCATAGGAAATACATATCGCTTTCTTTATTCACATAGAATACACAAAAGGGCAGCAAATTGAAAGGATCCTGACCCAGTTTCAGTAAGCAGCATGTGAGAGTGTATACACTCAACAAAAAAAGACAGCTGGATGGCGAAAAAAAATTAAGAAAATTTTTAGATGGTCAGCAGCATAGATAAAAAAATGCAAAAGTCGGACTTTACGCAAAATCAAGCCTAGACGAATTGTTAACGTGTGTGTGTGTGGTGTGTGTAGTCTGCGGGTGTAAAAAAAACCTTACACAACAACTATTGATCTCCCACCAAATGCCAAAGCAAAAAAAAAAAAGTATATGTACACACAGAATATTTACGCATGAGTAATTAATTAATTTAAGCAAAGCTTATATTATAAAAGTATAATAATTAATTAGAAGACATAAGTAACAAATAATACATAATATACTAAAAGTACAAAAAGTGCAAATTATCAACCTAATTACACACACAAACAATCATATGCATATGGTACATATGGTGCAACAGATCCTTAAAAATTAATGAGACTTCGAATCCTTTGATTTCAATGAAGCCAATGCGATGCGATAGAATTGTCAATTGCAAATCCATATAAGTGCCACGCATAAGCCGACCGCAATTACAACTACCAACACAACGACAAACTGAAGTACAACTCAACATTTGCATTGCATAGAGACGTCGAAATTAGCTGGCCAAAGATAATTAACTCTTCCCCCAAAATCGGTTGGCTAGTCGACAGCAAACGCGCGCATTCACGCTTTGAACGCAGCAACTATTAAGTATTTGGTACACTTAAATAAAATTATAGCTTCCAATCATGCTGCCTTGGTGGTGTTATTTACTAATTGCTGGGCTGGCGATTTATGCCCTTTTCGAGCTCCATTACTTCCTGCGTATGTGCCTTTGTGTAATTTTAGCGCGATTCGTTAAAGGCAAATGCCACATTTTGGAAACGACCAGAGTAGGAGGTATGTATGGATGGATGGATGGCGGAAAATGATATTATGTAATAAAGCATTGAATGAGAAGACTTAAAAATGTGGAGCTAATTTATTTTTCTTGAAAATATAAATTCTTTGTAGAGAATGGGCTGTTCGTAGCATTGATCCGGTGTGCTATTGAGTTGACAGACAGACTATTAGTGTTGTCTTTAAAAATATAAACATCATGAAAATTTCTAAATAAACAAGTAATCTTTAAGCAAAAAACCAAACCGACTTCAATTCCCATATACAAATTTAAGATTATCGTTAATTTCTTCAAGATCCAACGATCGGATCTAAACCACTTTAGTATGGGACACCTTTCCTTTAGAAAAATAATTATAGAAATCGGTTAACGTAGTCCAAAGTTATGCGGTAACATAAAAAAAAAATATTCCGACGAACTGATAACCTCTTTTGGAAGTCGGTTAAACAAATAGTCAAATTGAGTAAAAAATGACGGCTCCAGTGAATTATGAGCAGTAAATGCCACTGTGCGATGGCTTAAGAAGAGGTGTTTGAACTGTTAAGCCTTTGGCTGTGTCTAGAGAAATCCTCTGTCACATGAAGCTAGTGGAGCCACCATGTTTTGCATACCCAGCTGCAGTTCTTCATTTTTGGGCGGGTTATCGGGAGCTAAGGGCCTTGACCGACCTCCTTAAAAAGGTATTATATGCATGTATTTGTAAGCATCCAGTCCGCTGCTTCCTCTACTGCGGCTATCCCTGCTGCGAAAATACTACCGCGATCCGAGAGTTTTGAGTTGAGTTTGATGAAAAGTTTCCCACCTTAAATAATTTTGAGAACAGCAATAGAACAATATTAAAAAAAAAATTTGTTCAATGGAAATTTTAGTAATGTAACGCCAGGTAACGTCACGTCAGATAATTCAGCTGATTAAACAAAAAGGAGACTATATTTTTACATTAACCTTGAACATTTCCAATATTACCGGAGAAACTTTTATGCAAATAGTCTTGCCCGATTCGCAGAATTTTGCAATTTTGTAATCTAAGTCAAAATCCACTTCTGTTTTTTTTTTTTTAATTTTTACCTTTTTTTAACATTTTGTCATACAAGTGTCACGTAACGCCAGTTTGCAAATACCCATATGTAAAATTTAAAACCTTTCATTGCAGACCCCTTGCACTGATTATGACAACACATATTTTCTATTTACGTACGTATTTAACATTACAAAACCAGGTGTAGATTTTTAAGGACAGTCAAGGTGACGGCGAAGTATTACCTGTAACTATGTATATGAGTGCAAAAACATATGTACCCAATAAACATTGTGGCGAACGTTCGAAAATGACGCTCGATATCCAATATGAATATCGAACTGAGAACGAACTCATAAACAACCTTAGTTTTCCAATGTTCATAGTATATTGGAAATAAACTCGAGATGGGTTCGAAAAAAAAAAATTGAAACTATAGTAACAAGAGAGAAAGTAAAATGTAGCTCATTCTTGAAGGGAAATATAACACAATCACTCTCTCTCTCTCATAACGAACGGAAAATATATTGGATAACGAAGCTTACGTTTTGCTGGAGAATGGACTCGAATCGAATACTAACCTATGCCACATTGGTTATCGAAGGTGAAAATCGAAAAAAAAATATTCGTTTTCCAATCATTTTCGAATTGTTAACCAAGCCCAATGTTTGTTGGGTAGGCATAGATTTATATACCCATATATATACATACATATATACATACCTACATATGTATGCAAATTCATACCCATTTAAGACATTCGAATGCTTTTATTGCTGTAGCCACATGCTATCGACACGTGTTTTTGATGCTTATATAAGTAAGTAGTAGTTCTATGAAAATACGATACCACCTACCCCCAAGTAATGTATGTACTATACTTAAATATACCCTTCAAAGTTCTGAGTACAATTGCAAATAGCAACAATGCCGAAAATAGTAGTTATCGTAGGCCACAGGCATATTGTTTCCATTTTAATCTTTATCATAAAGAACTTTTTTAAATGATTTTTAAAGTTAAAGTTTTACAAAAAAGGTATTGTGAATATGGGCCATTAATTTACAAATGGTACACGTTGTTGGACTTCATAATTTACATTTGGCTAAAACTTTTTTTTTTTATAAGTTTTATGCATGAAATAAGAAAATGCCTATGCATATCAGGATATAATCGAAAAAAATTTTTTTGTGTCTTGCCGACACAGTTAGTTTGAAGAAAACGCTTTCAAAAGTTTAATGCTCATTTTACCCTAAGAAGAAGTATCTGCAAATGTGCTCACAATTATGAAAAAAAATAAAAAATAAAACACTAAAATAGCTTTAGCTTCCTAAAGGGTATGCATATGCGGCGTTCGAAGAGTAGCCTATTCGATTTCCGTTTGTTTTACTAATTCAAATAAAAAACACCTCAGTTATTCTGCTTGCCTTTCTACACTCTTCAAACATTTTTTTTATGTTTACCATTCTCGACTTGTATTTGCTTTTCATACATCGGGTCCGCCTCCTTATTTTCACTATACAAAGGCGTGCATATACATACATACATATGTACGTATGTATGTACACAAGTGATTAGTTTAGCCAAGTTCAAGGTAATTGTAGAAGGAATGCCTATTTGAGAAATGTTAAAGAAACGAAGAAATGTGGTTATTGACATAATACTATTAAGCCGTCGCAAACTGAGTTGTTAGAGGTGCACAACTATCATTCGGTAGCATGCACGTGCAATGTAAACACAGCGAAACGTGCAAATGATATGGCATTTTTTTTTGTAATAAGTAACTGTCGACAATGGCAAACCTCTGAGAACATTTCAGCCATGAAAAGGACTTTAAGAAAAACCATTTAACATTCAGAGGCAGGGTAAAACGGCAGCTCCCACCATTTATATAACAACGTCAAGGCGCGCAATACAAATTAATGGAAAAATTCGACCAAAAATTTGGCACAGAATTATGGAACGCCAAATATTTATTTGTTTTCTTTTGCTATTGATTTCTCTGTTTTTATTTGCATAGTAAGGCAACATTTCGCATTTTTTGTACTATACTACATTGCACTATGGGACGTTTTAAAATTTTTTTGATAAAAATTAACTATTGCGTATTTTGCTCCCCAAAAAAATTGCTAAAGAAAATATTTCTCTTAAACAATTAAGGGATTATACCACCCTGAAACAACTCAAAAATTTGGTATAAAAATTAGTTCGCATTTAAATAAAATTAATTAGTAATTAAATAACTAATTTGATGAAATTTAAATAAAATTTATAAAATAATAAATTTTTTTAATTTATAAAATTTATTTATTTTTTTTAATTTAATTATCACTTGAAAAATATTTCATTATTTTAGGTTGACGGCAGAGAGTTTGCTAGAAGTGATGCTATGCTATGAAATACATGCGAAGCAGCAAACAAAATTTTTTACTTTAAACCACTGTCAGTTTTGCAAAAAAAAATTAAATGTTTTACACGTAGCTCATACCTACTTAAAAAAAAAACACATATTTTTGTAATTTTAGAAAACACCCCATTCAGAAATATTGCAGACCATCTTGAAAAGAGACAGCTAATTTCCTTTGAAAAATGTTTCCACTTTTTTATTTTATTGAAATGAATGTTTATTATTCTGACTATTTGAAACACCTTCAAAGCTTCGACAAAATTGCCTACGTATACTGTAGGAAAAAACTGCAAAAGACCATTAGAAAAAAAAAAATATAGAAAATGAATGCGAATTTCAGCCGCTGAATTTCAATTTAATATACATACATACATACATATGTAGTTCCTTTTTTTTTGTTTTAGATGAGATACCAGCGCTGCGTATACGTAAAATTTTTCAGGGGACTATTTTGTTAGGACAACTATGCGTATACGTAATGCTGAAGTGCCAGCCATGCCTTATCGTTGCTGCCAGTAACTGGTTTGTCTGTCAATTCACAAACTTTCATTACCAGATAGATAGATATCGTTTAATAGGAAATGTCGCTTTATTAAAGCACTCAAACGAATCACTGACCCTGACATACATACATACATATGTAGATACATTAGGGTGCATCACCACTTCCGCCAAACATTTTCAGAAAAAATATTTAATAATAAAATAGATTTACGTGAGCTAGACCGATTTGAAAATATCTCAAAAATCTCATTTTGATTCCGTTGACCTTTTAAGCTTCAACTGTTATCTGAGGTGAGGTGATTTTTGTAAAATAAAAAAAAAATTTTAAAAATTTATTATATTTATAAAAAAATGGATTTTTACAATTATTTTCCAATCGATTAAGCTCACACAAATCTTAATATTTTATCGAAATATTTTTGCGGAGGTCTTAAAATATAATTAACATTATAATTCCGATGCAAAAAAGCACAGATTTTTTTGTATTGACATTGGAACCTAATGTCTTTTTTTTTGTGTAGCATATTTAATTAGTATTCCTTTCAAATCTCCTCCAGGTCTCTGCCTCACCAATGACATCGATTGGCTGCTTTATCACATGAACAATGCGCGTTACTTACGTGAGCTGGATTTCGCGCGTGTTGACTTCTATGAGCGCACAGATTTGTATCGCACCATAAAAGCGAAAGGCGGTTCTGTCTTTCAGGGAGCAGCTACCATACGTTATCGGCGATTTATCAGACCTTATCACCGCTTTCAAATACAATCGCGTGTAAGTGTGTTGATGAGATAAAAATTGTAACATCAAATCAATTTTGGTATAAACTATATTATAGATTAAATTTATTTCGCTTTTCAGATCGTCTACTGGGACGATCAATCTGTCTATATGGAACATCGTTTCGTACGGCTGTCCGATCAATTCGTTCACGCCATTGCAATTTGCCGGCAACGCATACTCGATTGCTCCACCGAGGAGGTGATGAGCGACTTATTGGCGCCTAAGGGTATGCAGGCACAAGCAACTCACAATATTGCGAGCTCAACTTCTAGTCTGGACAATAGTGCAGTGACCACAACAAATTTGGATGTGGCCGAAAATGGACAAGCGCGTGTGAAATTGAAACCTGATGTGCCACCTGAAATACAAAAATGGATTGAATACAACGATTTGTCCAGCAAGAACTTGCGTAGCAATTGCTGATGCCAATGGCGAGCTGAATTGCATGGAGGCAATCTAGATACGTACATACATACATACATCTGTACATAGGTGTGAATTTATATACATATAAAGTGCTTGCTTGACTTAAGCCTATACGTGTCTACATACATACATATTCCATTGCATACATATATATACATACACTAACATTGATATAAAGTTTATATGTAAACGTAGTTTCACTTAGTAAATGCAAACTGATATAAGTTGTTGCGAAGAAGAGAACACTTATTTATTTTTTGAGCTAATTTAAGTATGAAAATCTTTATAAATTATGTACACCCCTATTGCGAGTGTCGACTGGTAGTGGATAAACGACTATTATGCGATTATCGCTTTTCCGTGGTGCTGTGAACGTCGTTGTCTCGTTGAATAAGCGACTGTGAATAGTTTTAAGTCGCCCATCCTTCAACAAAGAAACACTAAAAATATTAACAGTCGCTTATTGAACAAGAAATCGACATTCACAATACCATGGTAAAGCGATAATCGAATAATAGTCGTTTATCTAGCGCTAGTCGACACTCGCTATAGGGAGGTGGTAATCTTGAATATGTAATTTGTTTTGTAAGAAAATAGAAATGCGTACGGTACGGTGTAAAATCGACGCATATATTAAAAATGCCAATGTGAAAGTTGAACTACCTAATAGATGTGTAAATGTGTGGAAAAGGGTAGACCCCATATTCCTAAATAAAAGAAATTTGTAGAAAAATGCAAACGTTTTATTTTGTCAAGGCGATCGTTTGGAAAACTACGATTAAAGATATATATAACAAAAGAATTTCGTAAAGGATACAAATCATGTTTATTTGTTGATATACATAACTACCATTCTTAAATCAGTAATTAGATCCAGTTTTATACCATTTTGAAGCAAGTAATTATAAACCGATGGTCCTCTGCAATAACGACTCAGCTCAAAACTAAACAAAAACCCATCAAGTAGTAAGTAGTAAGGATTAGGCATGGATTAGAGACATGGGGCCCTTAACAGCAGTAAAGTTTTTTTCTTTGATTTTCAGTAGAGCAGCGTTTAAGCTGTCTTTGAGTGGTTAAGAAATAATAAAAAACACAAATGGGTATTTCCATGAAAATGTAAATCGAAAAGGTTTACGTGAAACGGTTTTGAGAAGAACTGGGAAAAATAAATTATATGTATTTTATTAGTAAAATTAATGTACTTTTAGTTCAAAATAAAACTAACAACGAATTGCTGCTGATTAAATATGAATTGGTAGTAATGGTCCGTAATTTGACTTTATTTAAAGAATGTCAGATGATGCAATACAAAAAAATAATTAAAAGAGCAACAAAAAAAAAATAATAAAAAATTGGTGATTTTTGACAGACTGTTTTCAGACTTAAAAAAAAAAAACATTTTGAAGCTTTAAGAGGAGCTATGGTTCTCATGCAATTCTAACAGATAGCGCACAAAAATAATTAGCAATTTTATCCCCTTTTTTTATCTACGGGCTTGAAATTTTATTTTTTTCAGTTACGCCGACATGTGGAACAAATAGCCTGTTTATTTAGCTTTAATTTCGATTTTTAAAACCTCCCTTACGGCCGGTTACTCAATGTCTAGTTAATCCTAGCTACAGATTAAAAATCGTTATTGTTGTTGTTTGTAACTGCATATCAATTCCCAAAGAGTTTCTGGGGAATGATGCTGGATTGAGAATCCGGTTACGTACACCCGACTGTCGTTATCGACTGCCTGTTAAATGTTATCGCATTTTAAGACAGAGTTCGCAAAAAATTCCTGACTAAGGAATACAATTTCTGCCCTCCTCCTCACTACAACTCAATTCAAGAGCAATAAATTTTGATTTCCCCTTTTGTAAGTTAAAAAATAAAGATCGCTCTTTACCAAAATTTTTATTTAAAATAACTTAGTTTTTCGTCACAATATTTACGCTTCCACAATAATAATATAACTATTAGATTGGTGCTTACACAATATGTTAGTATTTGGCCGAGCTTCTCATTCGATTTGTGGCGTGCGCCTTGATGTTGTCACACTTATTTTTATGAGAAGCTATTTTTTCATGGCAGAAATACAATCGGAGGCCGAGAGACGACCGCTATTAGAAAAAACTTTCCTGAAATAATGCAAACTTTAATAGGGAAAAATTTTAAAAGTAAACGTTTTTTTGTAAATTTTAAAGCTTGTTCTTTTACAAAAACATCAAGCTATCAGCGAAGAAAATTTATTAATAAATAAACTTGTAAATGGTCATGTGCTAATGCGTAATAATTTCTCTACAAAATGTTTTCATCCAAATTTCTGATTCCATTCAGGGTCGAAAAAATAGGTACAATTGTACAATTACATTTTTCCGACGTTTGCTGACTTAAAGGTACATTGGGTACAATCATAGTTTGATCAGATGGATTTTTAGTTCCCCGCATTTTTAACTCTTCTATTAATTTTATTCGTCCATACAGTCTTGTGTCTAGGATTTCTTCCTCTGTAGTTCAGACAATAGCTATTTGACCCATATTCGCTTTTTGATTTCTGAAAATCTATTTCCAATTCCCATTATATTTTCTAGACTTACTGCACCTACTAAAGGGAATCGGATAAATTAGCAGACTTTTCCTGTTGTTTCAAAAATAAATGAACCTTGCAAAATGTGTTTTTTTGGTATTTTTCGCCAATATGTTTCAGAAGTCATAATTAGACAAAAACAAAGCTTCTGCGATTTCCATTAGACTATATTCTATAGATAAAAGCTGAGTTAAAAAAAAAATCCAATCAAGTTCAAAGTAATAATCATTCTTTTATATTCATAAAATTAATAAGAAAAACTACAAACAAATGATGAAACTTTTTTTGTGGGTACAATCTGTCTCATTTATGAAGGTATAATCTGAGATTTCCATTTTTCATTCCTGATTCAATTTATAGTTCATACATACATGGCGTATGAGTAACATTGGGCTTTTTGGAGTTGCAATCACAACCGCAGTGTTGCGCGAATGAATAATGCATCCGTTCGTTGTGAATTTCTAGCAACGTTTTATCAATTAGGAAGTTGCAACAGTCTTGCTAATTTTCATCAGCGTTGCTGTATTTTGCATTTGTTAAGTGCCTCGAACAGGCTCATTCTTTCCTAGTCATATTCGATAAAAAAATAAATTATTACGCATTCATTTTACCATTTACAGCTTTATTTATCAGGACTTAACACAACTCAAAAGAATTTACAAAAAAAGTTTTTAAATATTTTCGCTGATAAAGTTTGAATTTTTTTCATTTACAATGACCTGATCTAGAGAAACGGTATACAGGGCCGTAATGTACGACTTGTATTGTCCCTACATTGTAATCGCTACTAAAATGTATAAGGTTTCAAGGCGGGTACGTTTTACATATGTGGCTCATAAGCAGGCATGGGCAGAGAGTTAGCAGGTGCTAAAAGAGCGTAAGCGTCGCGTGTACGTATACAAGCGAGAGCGCAGCGATGAGAACACGACAGCATGCAAATGAATTAGGCACACTAACACATTCTCGCTTTTAGCTCACGCTTGTTTGTGGTAGTGCCCACCTCTGCTCATAAGTCATCTCAATTTCGGAAATACGCAGTGTAGGGTACATTCGAAGAATTACGAATGGCAAATATACCGCCAGATAAACCGGCTGTGAGAAATAAGTAGATTTGTATAAAGGAAGACATAGCTTAAATGTAATGCATACATATGTACATACATAAATATTTATAAACAAATCTGAATGCGCTCACCACTCTCTCATTTTCTCTTCGTACTCGTGCTCATGCCAAAGTGCAGCGTCGCAGCAGTAAACATTTTTGTGTTTTATTCAATATTAGCGATGCTTTGGGTACACAGAGCTTCATAAAGTTTTTGTGTGCTGTGTGGGGCGGACGTCGGCTAAGCAGAAGAAAAAATAAATAAATAAAACAGGTGAGTGGTTAATGAGTGGGCAAAATGTATCGAAATGTATTAAAGAGTAGCACTATTGCGTTTTTTTTTTGTCTTTTACGGCAACTTGCCGTGTGTTGAAAGCCATTGACTCTAGCCACCTGGTTGAGTAAACCTTTGGAAATTGCATAAATTGTATACTTTTTGGAATATTTACATAAATTTAGGGCAAATGTCAAAATGCTTACGCAAACGTATTTACGCAAATCGCAGTGGCAGATTTTAAGAAACGGGTGCAAGTAATTGTAGAGGTGAAAAGGAAAGAGTAAAGTAACGGGTGATTTTTTTGAGGTTAGGATTTTCATGCATTAGTATTTGACAGATCACGTGGGATTTCAGACATGGTGTCAAAGAGAAAGATGCTCAGTATGCTTTGACATTTCATCATGAATAGACTTACTAACGAGCAACGCTTGCAAATCATTGAATTTTATTACCAAAATCAGTGTTCGGTTCGCTTTACGTCCGATTTATGGTCTACATAATCGACCAAGTGAGCAAACAATTAATGCGATTGTGACCAAGTTTCGCACTCAGTTTACTTTATTGGACATTAAACCAACCACACGAATGCGTACAGTGCGTACAGAAGAGAATATTGCGTCTGTTTCTGAGAGTGTTGCTGAAGACCGTGAAATGTCGATTCGTCGCCGTTCGCAGCAATTGGGTTTGCGAAACACATAGCGAACCGAACACTGATTTTGGTAATAAAATTCAATGATTTGCAAGCGTTGCTCGTTAGTAAGTCTATTCATGATGAAATGTCAAAGCATACTGAGCATCTTTCTCTTTGACACCATGTCTGAAATCCCACGTGATCTGTCAAATACTAATGCATGAAAATCCTAACCTCAAAAAAATCACCCGTTACAACGGTGATTAAAATATTAGCTTCCTAGCCGCCGTTCAAAAGCTTTAGTTTGAACATTTAGTGTCAAGCGCCAAGTGGAAAAGTTTACATCAAAATTTTCCATATCCAGTTCTGGGCAGCATCAAGTTTTAAAAGTTACAGGTAGTTTTTTTTAGTTGCGAGTGTTTTTATTTATTTTGCTCATAAAAATGTATATTATGCGTGTATGATACTTAAATATTTATATTATTGCTTAATATATATGTATATAAGTAATTTTCATTCTCCAGCACCATGTCCTTCCTTGTCGTTTTACTCATTCTTTACATCATTTGGGATGTCAACTATTTCATTCGCTGCATTTTCACTGTCCTAGCTGGCCGTCTGTTCCAGGGTAAACGCAAAGTCACTGACACCACAACCATCTATGGTGAGCCATAATTCGTTATTTTTTTTTTAATTTTTCATTTTAATCCACCTCAATTTTTTTTCAGGTTTGTGCACCTCGCAGGATGTCGATATCTTCATTCGCCACATGAATAATGCTCGCTATTTGCGTGAATTGGATTTTGCACGCTTCCATTTTTATGCGCTGACCGGCCTGTACGAGCAAGTACGCCAGCGCAAAGGCGGTGCCGTACAGGGTGCCTCGAGCGTACGCTATCGCCGCACCATTCCCATTTTCCATCCATACAAAATTCAGACAAAACTCATCTGGTGGGACGAGAAGGCAATCTATTTGGAGCAATCATTTGTGACATTGTCGGATGGGTTTGTGCGCGCTGTGGCCCTCTCGAAACAATGTATCACCAACTGTGATGTGACGGAAGTGATGAAGACCTTCCCGGAAGCTAGCACGCGGCCGGAAATGCCAGCCGATCTAAAGCTGTGGTTGGACTCGATTGAAGTATCTAGTCAGAAGTTGCGCAAGGATAAGTGAATGAGGAGTGTTCTTAATGCTGACTTTAGTTTTTTTTTTAATAATTTTTATGATGTACATATACACCCACTTATATACTCATATTTATAGGTAATAAAATTTTACTTTTTATATTTTCTTGCCAAGTAAAAGCGTCGTTAAAATAAAAACCAAACACCTTATTTTCAAGCAAAACTTACATACATACATATGTACAGAACGCTTATTAAAAAAACTCAAAGTTCAATACGACAGTTCGTATTTCAGCACGTAAAATCGCAGTGAGCTCGATAAACATTTACCTTAGTACGCTTTTATTGTCTTCCTCAAGCTGAATAAAATTGTTGAGTATAAATTGTTATTCATAAGGCCACAACTAACAACAACATGAAGCGTAATATGTAAGCACATTAGTGTCAAAGGTGTCTTCAATTCTTAAGGCTGGTTTTCACTATGTCAAATTCAGTGGCATTCGTCATCAAATCAGTGAAAACACATTGTAAAATGGGATTAAAAAGCAGTTTATCGAATTGATTTGGATTAGGATAGGTGTTTAGTCATGTACATGCGCTGCTAAATCGGCTATCTGTCAGTTTTTCGCCCATAATATCGCTAAAGGTATGGATAATGGAGATAAAGTTGCAAACTTTGGACGCCAAAATGTGACGCAGTGAAAACCAGTTTTTTTGTATTCGTTTGATATATTTATGCAGAAATGGAAAATTTCAGAGTACTGTCCGAAGGTGTATTGTAAAAATTGCGTAGACTAACGCCAGAGTTTTTCAACAGATAACAACCAATTTTGGTGTCGCTTCCACTAGGAGAGAAATAACCACTCGGTGAACATTTTAGGGGAATATTATTGAAAATAACAACTTTTGAATTTTTATCCTGTTGAAGAGTGTGTGCGAAACAAGGTGATTCAGAACGCATGAAAAGATACAAACTGTAATTTTACTTCTGTACGTCTGGCAATCCTACGCGCGGCTGTTGTCACATTTTTCATCGACCCAGCTGATTTGAATTTCCACACCAAACGGCTGATTGTTAACTCGGACGGCCGATTATATTGACCACGTCTAAAATTCTACGAAAAAAACAAATTTTCGCTAAAGAGCCATTGTATATAGCATTTTCAGTTTAAATGAAACCATTTTCAAATTAAGCGAAACCTTTTTCAAATTAAATGAAACCTTTTTCATGTTAAGCGAAACCTTTTTCGAATTAAATGAAACCTTTTTCATGTTTATCGAAACCTTTTTCGAATTAAATGAAACCTTTTTTAGATTCAGTGAAACTTTATTCAAATTAAATGAAACTTTTTTCAAATTAAATGAAACTTTATTCAAATGAAATGAAACTTCTTTTTTGGATTACTTTGAATTAGCTGTTACGTGTTGCTCTCCCTTACGGTCAAGGCATGTTGAATACAGTGTTGCCGTTTCGGTCCAATTGGACCAAAATTGGTAGTTTCACTTTTTAAAATAAGGCTTTGGCAGGTTGGTTGGTTTGTTGTGGTTTTCGAGGGGTTTTGGTAACCAGGCAAATGATATAGTTTATTCATTTTATAAAACTTCAAATATCTCTGTTTTCGGGAGTACATGTAAAGGATGATGTGAAAAGGAAAAGAGAAATGGGACATGTCAAAATTATTCTTTAACCGAAGTTGAATGTTGCCGTGATTAGACTGTGCTCTATTCCATAGAGTTTGTTTAAGTTAGAAGAAAATAATTAGACAATTGTTATGCAAATGCCAAATTTTACATTTCGCTTAAGCGAGTGAGTGAGAAGGGAGAGTATTTGTACTTTATTTCCCTCTTCTCCCTTAAGAAAATAATAGTTGGCAGCTTTGAATTCGTGTAGCAACAATAAAAATATTCCCCCAGTTAAACATCATAATCGGCGTTATCGACTCACTGATATAAGGATGGCATCGATAACGATGTGTAACTGGCAGTTACGTGTTTTTACGTAGAATTCGAAAACCAACAGACTTGTACGTATGTAATGCTGTGCGTTGGGTAACAGCTTACACGCGAAGCTCATTTAACAGATTCCTTATGTGACAACTCTCAAGCAATGCCAAGTATGCATAACAGAGCCTTTAGTGTTAGCCAGACATGGTGCAAACGGCTCTTAATAGGTTAAGTTGATTTCCTGTTCCTTAATTACAAAAAGGTTTAATACTTAATTTGAATAAAGTTTCATCTAATTTGAAAAGAGTTTCATTTAGTTTGAATAAAGTTTCATTGAACCTGAAAAAAGTTTCATTTAATTTGAATAAAGTTTCATTGAATCCGAAAAAGGTTTCATTTAATTTGAAAAAGGTTTCGCTTCATCTGAAAAAGGNAAGTTTCATTGAATCCGAAAAAGGTTTCATTTAATTTGAAAAAGGTTTCGCTTAACCTGAAAAAGGATTCATTTAATTTGAAAAAAGTTTCATTTAAACTGAAAATGCTATATATAAATTTTGAGTAAATATTGAGGAGTTCCTTAGCCCCACTGCTCAAAAAATCTGAACGTCCGGTACATACACACACATAAATTCAAGGCCATATTTCTAGTAAAATCGCTTAAATTCGACGATTTTTATCCCATGTCATTGAGTATAGGTATAACAGGCTAACCTAATATTCACGCACGCCGCCAATTTATTGTCAAAAATTTCTCATACACATGCAACTTGTATGAGATCAACCGAAATTGAACGGCGTGCGTATGAAGCTAACTCAATTTCCAAAAAAAAAATTAGGGTTTCTAAAGTTTTCTTTTTTTTAATTGGATGGAAAATAATCAAGCTGTTAATAGATAAGCGATTCAAGTATTAAAATAATGTTTTTTTTTTTGTCAAAAACATGGCGGGTTCAGGAACTATGATAAACCTATTTTCATATTGTACTCAACCCCACCTACAACCTACGCTAAGTTTTGTTTCGGGTAGATTTCGTGATTTTTTCTTACCGCACCGTGTTATAGTAATTAGTAACCCCAAAACCCAAAGTTTGTAATTTTTGTTGATATTAAGTGATTTTTTGAATACTCAGTCCGCCATATTGGATTTCCCATTTTGAATTTTTCAAATCTTACATCAAATTTGTAATTAATAATAATATAATAGATTGGCGCTTACACATATGTTAGTGTTTGGCCGAGCTTCTCCTCCGACTTGTGGCGTGCGCCTTGATATTGTCACACAAAGCGGAGGGACCTACAGTTTTACGCCGACTCCGAACGGCGATTGTGTTTTTATGAGAAGCTGGTTTTCATGGCAGAAATACACTCGGAGGTTTGCCATTGCCTGCCGACGGACCACCGCTGTTCAGAAAAAACCTTTTTTCTATATTTTTTGCGATGTTGCTTTGACCAGGGTTTGAACCCGGGTGCTGCGGAGTGGAAGCGCCGCGCACTGCTTACCACTACACCACAGCGGCCGACAAATTTGTAATTAGCGACCCTAAAAATGCATTCCTATATTTCAGAATCTTAAGCTCTCACATATATAGCCTGTGTATCTTTACGGGAGCAAAGAAAATACGTAACTCCGTCGACTCTACTGAAGGTAATTGCTGAGCTCGAGCCAGTTTGTCTCATCACAGCGCTAGCAACTGCTCAAGAAAAGGTAAAAGAAAGGTCTTATCATCTATGAAGAATCCACGTAGGTAATCCAGAAGACATAGGCTTGCTATCGTTATAGTATCACAACAAGAAAAAATTTGCGGCCCATCCTAGTACCTAAATAAAAAAATCTAAACTAAAAGCGCACACTTTTCGAACATGTTTGATAGGCTAATCAAACATTTTCAACCATCAACCAACAGCAAACTAATGCAATGGTGAATAAAATTTGTGGAGTGTTTTCACCGTCAATGTTTGCCCAGCGTCACTGGGCGCACGAGTTGAATGCGATGCATCAATGGCAACCGCACACTGTCAATCAAACAGCAACAAGTAGCCATTGCAAAAACTACAAATGTATCTAGTATGCAGTTAATGAAATAAATGCAATGTCAACTGAGGCGTATTCAGAAGAGAGCAGCAAACAAGTAACAACAAAGTACCTTAGCAGCATCGGCAATAGTAGCAGCAAAGATAGCAACAACAATTGCGGCAGTAGATGCTTTTCTAGTCGTGTGTCCGTCCCCCCTTTCTTTATTAGATTTAATATCTGCCGCGTACCTACTAGCAGCGAAGAGCAGCTCACCATCAAGTATCTATTAATCTGGTCGACTGTGAATGGTGGGCTGCTGCAGACTATCAGCGCTACCAAAGAACTTTTAATATATTCAGTTGTTGTTGAATGCTCGAAGCGTGCGGAGCGGTAGCGCGAAAATACATAAAAATATAACTTTTGACGGCGAGTTACATAAAGTTATTAGTTTAACTATTTAAGTGCATTCTGAGTTGTATCCAAAGTAATGAGGTTCTGATTGCTCGTGTGTACGCGAAAAAGTGTTTAAAAGTAAGAGGGATTGTACAAAACAAAAACAAAAACATTTAATACATTAAAAATAATAATTATGGGAATTAAAATAAGAATGAAGAATAAAGAAATATGTAAATATTTAAATTTATGTAAAATTAAAGACACTGAGGGAAGGTGGGTTCCCAATCAGCTTCTATCGAAACGCTGCTTAACCGTTTTATGGGACCCTGGATACAGAACGAAAAAGGACAGAAATACCTGTGGTGACAATGCGTTTTCGCTGTTTCTTTGTGTTTAATTTCCATTCTTTTTAAATTAAAATACAGTTCATTCTCTAATAAAAATCATGTAAGCGCAAGTTTCAAACTTTGTATCAACAAATTTTCATCAAAGTTCCTAACCCTTTTTCGCAGAATCCTGGCATGCAGTTTTGTAGCGCATTCAATTTGGAGTAGCTACAAGTAACCGTTGATTTTTGCATTGTCCATATTCAAGTGCATGGGAGTGTATAATAATGGGATTTTTTTCAGCCTAAGTCTGCCCGCGTGCTTTCCTTGCGCAGTAGCAACCACTCTAACCTAACCTAATTTAGGTGAAATTAAATCGAAAAATGCGAAATGAGTAATTTTTGAAACTTTAAAGAGAAAACATTTAAAGAGATTTACTTACACTAACATTTATGAAAATTTATCGTTATCGATGTTGTTATCGAGTTCGTTGTTGTAATCGA